CTCCCTCCTCCCCCTCCCTCTTCCCCCCCTCTCCCCCCGCTCCCTCTCCCCCTTCCCCTTCCGTGCCCCTCCCCTTGCCTCGCTTCCTTCCCCTCCCCTCCCCACTCCCCTCCCCCCCCGGATACCTGGTTGACAACCATGCGCGCCTCGTAGTTATCAACGCACGGCAGCACCAGGTCCACTCGGCTCTTGCTGCGCTCCTTTGTCCCCACCCTCCTACCCCTCCCTTTGCCCAACCCCACCCCCCCTCCCTACCTGGTTGACGACCATGCGCGCCTCGTAGTTATCAACGCACGACAGCACCAGGTCCACGCGGCTCTTGCTGCGCTCCGACGGGTGAGTCAGGCTCGCAGTGAACCGCTCAAACCCCTCCACTGTCGTGATGTTGATCGTGTAGCTCTGGGGGTGGGGGGGAAGAGTGGGACGGGATGGGGCGAGAGAAGCAGAAGGGCCCAGGAAAAAGGGGGGGAATACATGGGTGGATGAGTGAGTGAGACTCGCCGTGAACCGCTCAAACCCCTCCACTGTCGTGATGTTGATCGTGTAGCTCTGGGGGGGGGGGGAAGAGTGGGGAAACAGAGGGGGAGGGGAGCGAGCGAGGAGGGACGGGTGGGGAAAAGAGGGTGAGGGAGTACGTTGGTGGGTGAGTCAAGACTCGCCGTGAACCGCTCAAACCCTTCGACTGTCGTGATGTTGACCGTGTAGATCTAGGATGGGAAATAGATTGAAGCGATGAGTGTGGTGGCATGTGGGAGGAGGGAAGGAGAAGTGGGGGGAAGATTGTTGGAGCGGGGAGGTAGGCAAAAGCGAGTTATAGCTTACAAAAACCAGGTTGGGCAAAAGGGTGGAGGAGTGTGGAGAGGAGAAGGTGAACACAGGACCAAGCGCTACCAGACCAGCAGCAGACGGAGTGGAAAGGCTTTTGAGTCGACTCAAAAGTCAGCTCAAAAGAGGAGAAGGTGTACACAGGACCAAGCGCTACCAGACCAGCAGCAGAAGAGAAGTGGAAAGGCGCGGGAGAAACAGCACCCTGTCTCGTCTCCCCACACAACGCGGGAGACGAGACAGGGAGTGAGGATCATGGGGCACGGTGAGGGACGGTGAGCAGCATGGTGGGAAAGGAACCATGTAAGCTGGTCACCGCACCGCACACTGAGGACACAGCACTGAGGACACAGCACTGAGGACACAGCACTGAGGACACAGCACTGAGGACACAGCACTGAGGACACAGCACTGAGGACACAGCACTGAGGACTGACCTCAAGGCCAACGTCCGGGTTGATGCCTTGAAGTGTCTGCACTGCAGCGTCTGTCTTGGTCATGCCCACCTGCCACGCAGTTGCAGTGGCAGGGGGGAGCGAGGGAGAGAGAGGGAGGTGATGAGTGAGTGACTGAGTGAGTGAGTGAGTGCGTGTAGAGCCCAACTGGGCACGGAGGAATGCGCTCTGGGTTGTAGTGCGTTTGATGACAGCACAGCAGACACCAACAGTAGCACATCAGCGCAGAGCACCCATCACACCTGCAACAGCACACCCAGCACAACAAAGCACACAGCAGGCAGCAAGCAGGTACTGGCCCACCTGGTCGGGGCGGAAGGAAAGGCGGTTCATGTTGGCGAGCTCGACACTGTCATAGTCGTACAGCAGCCGGCAGCTGTCCATTGCTGTACAGAGCAGCACCCAACACACAGCACCCAGCACCCAACACACAGCACCCAGCACCCAACACACAGCACCCAGCACCCAACACACAGCACCCAGCACCCAACACACAGCACCCAGCACCCAACACACAGCACCCAGCACCCAACACACAGCACCCAGCACCCAACACACAGCACCCAGCACCCAACACACAGCACCCAGCACCCAACACACAGCACCCAGCACCCAACACACAGAAACACAGAGGCGTGCAGCACGCACGCACCTGGTCGGGGCGGAAGAAGAGGCGGTTCATGTTGGCGAGCTCGACGCTGTCATAGTCGTACAGCAGCAGCCGACCGATGCCACACCGCGTCAACATCTCCGCCGCCACACTGCCCACTCCTCCCACTCCCTGGTGTGTGCCGACACCACCACCAAGTAGGGAGTGAGTGAGACAGGCAGGCAAGCACGAAGGGAGGGAGACAGACAGACAGGCAGGGAGGGAGGGAGGGAGGGAGGGAGGGAGGGAGGGAGGGAGGGAGACAGACAAGCAGGCATGTAGGCACGCAGTCAGGCAGGCAGACATGCATGGGTGGGAGGACGGATTCATGTTGTGTATTCAAACAAGGAGACATGCACGCAGTGGGGCACGGGCACGGGGTTCTTGACAGAACGCATGAACGGTGAAAGAGCGAGCAAGAGCGATGCAGCTGAGAAGAAATAACGACGGTGAGGGATGGAGGGGGGGCGGGGGAAAGGTGTATGGAAAGACGCAAGAGAGCAGAAGCCGCGCCAGGGCAAGGGGCAGACCAGGTGGGGGGGAGACACGGACGGTCAGACGAGGGAGGGAAGGATGGATGGAAGAAGGGGACGGGATGGGAAGGGACGGGATAAAAGGCTTTGGGAAGAACGGGGGGGTGAAGTGGGATGGGGGAAAGTGGAAGTGAGTGAGAAAGGATGTGCGGGATGGGCATACCACGATAGCGACGGTGTATTTTCGGATGTCTTGGTAATTGTGAACAATGCCCATGCGCTGCAGGGCCATGAGACGACTGTACGGGTTGCTGCTCACCACCTCTCCACTCATCTCCTGCACACATGCATGCAGGCAGACAGGCAGACAGGTACGCAAGCAAGCAAACACACAAACAAGCAGCAAAAGAAGGAAGCAAGCATGCACACAAACACATGCAGACAAGGAAGCAAATCAGTATGAAAAGAAGGGAGCAAGCGTGGAGTGGACGCATGCGTGTGCAAGCAGGGACATCAAGAAGGTGACTTTCAAGGAAGAATGCTCGATAATTGAGACAAGGCGGATGAGACGGAGTAGCATGAGTGGAGAAAGTGGCATGGGACATGGAGAGAGGGAAGGGAAGGGAAGGGAAGGGAAGGAAAGGGAAGGGGAAGGGGAAGGGACGGAAAGGGAAGGGAAACGGGAAGGGAAGGGAAGGACGCACTCGAAGGTCCGCCTCCGCAGCTGTCGCTTCGTCTGCTGACGTGGAAGATCCCTTGACGGCCTGCAGCCATTGCAGATGCTGCTGCGCCTGTGAACGGATGCGATAAGGAGTTGGGAGTTGATTGAGAGATAGGGTGAGGGAGATAGGAGGAGGGATCGTGAGGATAGACAACATACAAGCATAACAAATGTGGAGAAGGCGAGAAGGAGGGAGGAGAGAGGGAGCAGAAAGGAGGAAGGAGGAAGGAGGAAGAGAAAGGAATAGAGAATTAGTGACGGAAAACCGAACGGCATCTTAAAAGTCACGAGCCCGCGAAGTATGGCGGATGGACTATTCGTAAAAATAAAATGCGCAGACGAAAGAGACGCAGGGAATGGAAGAGAACCAGAATGGGATCCAGAAGCGGAATCATCTACGGGAGTCGTGCGAAAATGACAATGCGAAGAATCTACGGAAGAAGCAGGAAATTCGGTAAGAATCATAAGCGAATGCGAACATGACAGGATATCCAAGCTTGGGGAAAGCTACGACGAAGCTAGGTCGCACGGACCCGTCCGAGCTCGTCGGGTGATAGTCGTGACTGGAGCTTCGACAGGAGGTCTATCAAGCCCGCCGCGTGCGACGCTGCATCCGCCATTGTTGGATATGCTCGACGATTTAGCGGGGATGGATCAGAGAAATGCTGCGAGCGATAATGCCGAATGATGGTGGTGGGGAAGTGAGGGGAAACTTTCAACAAAACATTTACACACCTACATCACTACCTTTATTTGTGATTGGTTTGTTAACATATTAGTAATAGCATCGGCTTGTTTCTTAACAGGGACAAGCCCTTGATCTTGGATCTGGCTGCACGTGAAGTACCCTAGTGGTGTGAGATGTGGCCACGTCGCCACCTGCCAACAGAAAACCCCGCTGCATTCCAGCAAACGAAATGTCACGACAGCAAGTAACCTCCCACGTGATACATTTCGCGTGAAGAAACGAAACACAAAACCCATCCCACACTGCTTCCGAACGAACCTAACGAACCAGCCGAAGCTCCGTCGCGCCACTTGCTCGGGTTTCGTCAGGCTCGTATCCACTCACTTCCTTTCCCTTGCTCTCTGAACAGCTGGTTCAGGAGAATCCCTAAGGTCATGTAATGCCTGGCTGGGAGCTTGGGAACTTCAGCAGCAGTAGCAGTCACAGCTCGCTCCGTCACGATAGCAACGGCCGTGCTTCAAGGGAACTCATTGCGTGATAAAGAAGCGGGAATACGAAGGGAGGGATTCTGGAAGCGAGCAGGAGAATGGGATGGACAGGCGCTTCCCTGCTCTGCCCACCCTCTAACCATCGCTGCGCGCCGACATTACTCTCCTCTTCTTCCTCCCCCTCCTCCTCCTCCTTCTCCTCCTCCAATGGAATTACGCCAGGATATTTCGGAACACCAATCGTCCACGACAATACCAATCCCCTGCAGAGATCTTGCTCCTGGCTAGCGGCACCACCACTGGCACCGCCATGCGCAAACCGCTCTCTTGCTCACCATCCTCACCACCCTCACCGTAGCCGTCACTGTCGCTCTCACATCCTCCCCGCACTTTCCTGTCTTCCGCCGGCCGTCTTCACCAGCGCCTCGCCGTTGCTTCCCCATTCCCGCGCCAGATGCGGCGGGAGCGTAAGGAGCGCCGCACGCAACAGCAGCAGTAAGAGTAGCGGCAGGAGCATCAGCGTGCGTGGCGGGATCGTCAGCAGCAGCAGCAGCAGCATCAGCAACCGTTACGAGACGCAAAGAACGAGATGCAACGCGGCGAAGCGGGCTCCCGCGAACGCGGAGAGTGAGGATGACTACGCGGGGGAAGCAGCAGCGGCGGCCGCGGCAGCAAAAGGGGAAGCCGCGCAGCAGAGCAAAATGGCGCGCGGACTGACAGCCGTGGTGCTGGCAGCCGCGCTTGTCCTAACCCCGCCTCTGCCTACCCCCGTGCTGCACTGGAGATTGGACGACTCGCAGCAGTCGCAGCTGTCGCAGCAGTCGCAGGCGGAGCAGCCGTTGGGGCAGGCGGGGCAGGCGCAGGAGGGTGAATGGGAGGCGCAGGCGCAGCAATGGCGGAGGGCAGGGTTGGGGGTGGGGGTGGAGGTGCGATGGGACGACGGCGCAGCGCATGCTTTCCTACTGGAAAAGGTATGGCCTTGCTGCTGCCTTGCTGCCTCCCTGCCTTTCTACTGCCTTGCTACTTCCTTCCTGTCTCCCTGTCTCCCTGTCTCCCTGCCTCGCCGCCTCCCGGCCTCCCTCCCTTGCTTGTTAGAGACGAAGCAGCAACCGCTTGGGTGAGTGAGGCTGACAGCCTTCACTGAAATGCGACCCATCTAGTCTGACACTCCCCCATTTCTCCTCTCCACTCCCCTTCAAACTCATTCCATTTTTGAGACGACTCAAAAATAGACTCACTACACGGAGACTGACAGCCTTCACTGGAATGCGACCCACCTAGTCTGACACTCCCCCATTTCCCCTCTCCACAAACTCATTCCATTTTTGAGACGACTCAAAAATAGACTAACTACACGGAGACTGACAGCCTTCACTGGAATGCGACCACCTAGTCTGACACTCCCCCTTTTCCCCTCTCCACAAACTCATTCCATTTTTGAGACGACTCAAAAATAGACTCACTACACGGAGACTGACAGCCTTCACTGGAATGCGACCCATCTAGTCTGACGCTCCCCCATTTTTCCTCTTCACTCCCCTTCATCCCACCTCCTTTTCCATTCTTTTCCGCCCCTCCATTCCTGGCGTGTTCGATTCTCTCTGCGCGTGCGCGCAGATCAAGACGCTGGAGCGCTCCTTGGAAAGCCTGGTCACCTCCATTAAGAACGGCAAGGTGCAAAACAGAAGCCCCCCTCTCTCTCCCTCTCTTCCTCTCTCTCCATCTATCACCCTCTCTCTCTCCCTCTATTCCTCGCATCTCCTCTGATTTCCTGTCTCCAGCAGCTACTCCCTTCCTCAGTCTCTCATCTTCCCTCTCCCAATCCCGCCCGCTCACCCTCTCCCACAACGCAATGATTCTCCTCCTTCCATTCGGCATCTTTGCACCTTGCTCTCCCCCGTGCTCTCCCCCATGGCCCCCCTCACACCCTCCTCCACCTTGTTTTTCTCCCTGCGCCCTCCCCTTCCCCTCACTTCCCCCTGGTCCGCCGCCCCTGCCTCCCCACAGGCACTTGACAAATTCATCACTGTGTGGACAGGCCCTCTGGTGGGTGCTGCATCCCATCCCATGCCATGCCATGCCATGCCATGCCATGCCATGCCATGCCATGCCATGCCATGCCATGCTGTGCCATACCATGTCATACCATGCCAGCGTCATGCTTCATGAAAGGACAAGCAAGGGATAGGGTGGTGCGGGAGGAATGTTACGCCATTACATGACACGACATGACATGACATGCATCAAACTGTGACACCATCTCTGCACGGCCCGTTTCTGTCTCGCTTAACTGCCTCCAGACTCCAAAATGCCGATGAATTCTCACTGACCATTCTCGCATGCCTTATTCTGCCTCTCCTGCCTCTCCTCTCTCTCCTGCCTCCCCCTTCGCCGTCTCCCCCATCTCCGCCCCTACCCCCCACCCCACCAGGTGACATCAGACGTGGTGGACGCGCAGGTCAAGGCAGTTCTCGACAATGGAGCCATTCTTGTTGCTCTCATGTTCTCTCTCTCTCTCTCTCCTCCCACTCCGCCCCGTCTCCTCCATCTCGTCCGCCCCATCTCCGCCCCTACCCCCCACCCCACCAGGTGACATCAGACGTGGTGGACGCGCAGGTCAAGGCAGTTCTCGACGCTGAGAAGAGGGTACGCCGCCGTGCCGCCTTCTCTCGTGCTCCTCTGCCTTGCCGTGCTGCTTTCGCGGGGAGGGAAGCGAGGGGCGGGCAGGGTGGGGCGAGAGGGGCTTGGGGAAAGGGGTACAGGGCGCTTTCTTTAGTGACCCATATTATTGCCCTTCCCTTCACTTTCGGTCGTATTTTGTTGTTTATTATTATTATTATTATTATTATTATTATTATTATTATTTTCCCCATATTATCCCTTGCTCTTCCTAGCTTCCCCTCCCACGTTCCACTCTCTCCCTTCGCCACTCTCCCCTTTCATCACCCATCCCCCTCACCACCCTCCCCCTCTCCCTCCTCACCTCCCCCTCTCTGATCATTCTCCCTCCCCTCCACCCTCCCCCGCATCCCCCGCCCCTCTCACCACTCCGTTCCCACCCTCACCTCTCCCATCCCCCGTCTGGCATGTGCTTCCTTCCACTGCACGCATCACGGGCCCATGCCATGGGGCAGGAGGCGGGATTTAACCTGGAGCGCATTGGGGAGTATGTTGTTGATGCAGCTGCCGATGCTGCTTCCAAGGTATGCCCTGCCTGCCATGTGCCTGCAACGCATCACGGGCCCATGCCATGGGGCAGGAGGCGGGATTTAACCTGGAGCGCATTGGGGAGTATGTTGTTGATGCAGCTGCCGATGTGGCCTCCAAAGTACACCCCGTGTGCCTGCCTGCCTGCCTGCGTGCCTGCCTGCCTGCCTGCCTGCCTGCTTGCCTGCTTGCTTGATTGATTGATTGATTGCTTGACTTCTTGATGCTTGCAGCTTGTTTTCCGCTGCTTGCTGCTTTTGAGGCGCCTCAAAAGCCACTCTCACTATCTCTCTTACCCTTCCACTCCCATCGTCCTTGCGAACCACTTTTTCCCTTCGTTGCCTGCCCCACATCTGTACTGAGTTGACTCACAAGGCATCTGTACTGAGTTGACTCACAAGGCATCTGTACTGAGTTGACTCACAAGGCAACTGTTCTGAGTCAATTTCCAAGGCATTTGTTCTGGGTTGACTCAAACGGAATCTCTGCCTCTCGCTCATCTCTGCCTGCCCGGCATCGCTGCCTGTCCTTCACATTTCTCTTCTCCCCGCGCGCAGCTCTCTCGCTTCACTCTTGCAGCGGAGGGCGAGGTCTCTGCGGTGGCCGCAACAGGGCTCGTGGAGGGTGCATTCGATAAGGTGTGAGGCGGTGAGAGGTGGTGAGAGGCGGTGAGAGGTGGTGAGAGGCGGTGAGAGGCAGTGAGAGGAGGCAAGAGGAAGTGAGAGGTGCCAAGAGGCGGAGCTGGGGTGCAGATGTGGCTCTTAAAGCATGAGGGGAGGAGTCGGGAGGAGTCCCTTGGAAGAAACTGCGCTCTCTTTATTGGTAAACAATATCCTTCCCATGCTTTGCCTGTCATACGCCATCCACTCCACTCCCTCTTCTCTCCCCCTTCCCTTCCTCTTCCCTCCCACTCTCCTCCCCATTCCTTCCCCCCCCCCTGCAATGCCAGTTCCTGGCGTTTGAGCTGTCAACAGTGTTCTCCCACATGCAGCGCCTTGCCCGTCACACACCACCATCCCCTCCCTCTTCTCTTCCCCTCCCCTCCCTTTTTCCTCCCCCTTCCTTCTGCCCCTTCCCTCTCCCTCCCTGCAATGCCAGTTCCTGGCATTTGAGCTGTCAACAGTGTTCTCCCACCTGCAGCGCCTAGCCATCTTCGCCCCCATTGTCGCCGCTGGCATGTGGTGGTGCGTGCGTGCATCTTCTTCCCCCAGTGTTGCCCCTGTGTCGCTCGCTCCCATTGTTGCTCATCCCATCTCATCTCACCCCTCATGCCACTGCTGCTGCTACTGCTGCTGCCGCCGCCGCCGCCGCCGCCGCCGCTGCTGATGCTGGTGTTGATCCTCATGGTGCCGCTCCTGATGCTTCTGATTCTGATACGTACGATCGTTCCGCTGCTGCTGCTGCTGTGTGTGTGTTCATGTGGGGGTGATGGGTGGGGGCCAACAGGCAAATGCAGGGTCGGAATGTCTTCTCTTGGTGCGTATCTCTCAACCCCCTCCCTTCTGAGTTGCTCGTGGACTTCATTCATTTCTCCGAACCCAGTACATATAGACACATCAAGTACTAACACTCTATCCACCTCAACTCCTAGCTTTGTTCGGACCAACACGTGACGACTCACCACGCGCCCCCCCCCCCATATTCTGCTTCCAATCTCCTCATTTTCTTGCTCGCAACTTATAGCGCCTCACATTCTTGCTCTCCCTTCATCTGCATTGTGCTTTCCTCCTCTCCTCCCCTCTCCTCTCCCTTCCTCCCCTCTCCTCTCCCTTCCTCCCCTCTCCTATTGCCTCCACTCTCTCCTCTCCTCTCCTCTCCCACCTCCTCTCCTCTCCTCTCCTCTCCCACCTCCTCTCCTCTCCTCTCCCCTCCTCCTCTCCTCTCCTCTCCTCTCCTCTCCTCCTCTCCTCTCCTCTCCTCTCCTCCTCCTCTCCTCTCCTCTCCTCTCCTCTCCCACCTCCTCTCCTCTCCTCTCCCCTCCTCCTCTCCTCTCCTCTCCTCTCCTCTCCTCTCCTATCACATCTCCTCTCCTCTCCTCTCCTCCTCCTCTCCTCTCCTCTCCTCTCCTCTCCTCTCCTCTCCTCTCCTCTTCTCTCCACTCCTCTCCCCTCATCTCTCCTCCTCACTCCTTCCCTCCCCTCCCCTCCCCTCCCCTCCCCTCCCCTCCCCTCTCCTCCCCTCTCCGCCCCATTCCCCTCCCTCATACCGCACCCTTCCTCCATAACAGGGATGGGAAAGAGGTCTCCCCTGACGGCAGCAGCAGCAGCAGGTCGGGAGGAGGAGGGCAGGGCGGGTGGGAGTCGGAGGAGGAGGAGGAGGCGAGGCAGCAGCGGGCGCTGCGTGTTCGGAGGGAGCTCCGGCGGATCGAGCTTAAAGCAGAGCTCAGAGACGAGCTGGCTGCTCTCGGTGAGGTAGGTTTTACATACAACTCTTCTAGGTGCCCTTAAATAGCGGGCGCTGAGAGTGAGGAGGGAGCTCCAGCGGATCGAGCTCAAGGCAGAGCTCAGGGACGAGCTAGCCGCGCTGGGCGAGGTGGGTCATTCATGCGTACAGGTGGAGTGCGGTGAAGTGGGGCGTGGTGGGGTGGTGTGTGCTGATGTGGGATGGGGTCGGGTGGCATGGCTTTTTCTTTATATGCTGCTCCATCCCCCCACCCATCCCTCCTTCGCCCATCCCCCCACCCTTCCCTCCTTTGCCCATCCCCCCACTCCCCAGCGGACGCTAAGGCCCTCATTCCCTTCTTTCCTCATCCCCCCATCCCCCCATCCCCCACCCACCCCATCCTCGCAGCGAGCCCTAAGGCCCGGCATGCCCCCATCGTCCACCACAGCAGCAGCGGAGCGAAAGGAGGTGGAGGACCTGCTGCTGCAGCTCTGCCTGCTCGGCCAGCTGGGCCAAGCTTCCCCGCTCACCTCTTGCTTTCTCCCCCTGCTTCCCTTTCACTTGCTCCCCCTTGCGTCTCCTTCATCCCATTCCCCCAATCCCCCATACTCTCCTTTCCTCTACCCCCCCGCCCTGCATTTCCCCCATCCCTCCCACTAACCCCATCCGTCCATACCATCCGCCCAGAGGGCTTTGAGGCCAGGCATGCCCCCTTCGTCCACGACAGCAGCGGAGCGCAAGGAGGTGGAGGACCTGCTGCTGCAGCTCTGCCAGCTCGGCCCACCTATTGGATACCTCACGGGCGGAGCAGCAGACGGAGGGGACTGGGAGGGCGGAGGGGTGCAGGAGTGGGGCGAGAGCGAGGGTTGGGATGGGGACGGTGGTGCCGGAGGTGCTCCGCTTACGCATGGATCGTGGGTGCTCATGTGAGTGCTTCCTGCTTGGGGTGCTTTGGCTGCTTTGGGTGCTTGGGCTGCTTGGGTTGCTTGAGGGTTGGGATGGGGACGGTGGTGGTGGAGGTGCTTCGCTTACGCACGGATCGTGGGTGCTCATGTGAGTGCTGCTGCCTTGCTTCGGCTGCTTTGGCTGAATGGGACTGCCGCATCTTGAGATTCACCAATCCGTGTGCCAATCAAGAGCGCATCACTTGCAAATTTCCACCTTGCAACTTCGTCTACCCTCTCTCGTCTCCGCTCTCCTCTGTTCCCTTCCTCCTATCCCCTCTGTCTGTCTGTCTGTCTGTCTGTCTCCGTATTTTCCCCTCCATCTCTCCCCTTACCTCTCCCTACTAACATTCCTCCTCCCCTCGCATCTCATCCCTCCTTCCGTTCCCCCCAACCAGCTATGCTTCATGCGACCCCGAGCCTCCTCCATCTACGGACCCGCCTCCCCTGCCGGCCATTCCCCTCTCGCCCATGCAGCTGCTGCTCCGGGCGGCAGAACTGCCGGGCGTGGAAATCGCACGGCTGACTCAGCAAATCGGATCTGATTCCGGTGGCTTTTTGACTGGCGCAGGGGGGGGAGCTGGGGGAGGAGGAGGAGGGGCGGGAGGGAATGGGGATGGGAGGGCAGGGAGGGAGAGTGAGGGAGATGGTAGTGGTGTAGGGGATGCTCTGAGTGGAGGGGGAGGAGGGGTGGGAGCGGGTGATTCTTCTGACGTTATATCCAAAGAGTATGTGGATTTAAAGCTCGGTGCATTGGGGAAATTTCGCCTTGGCTTTTCCTCCTCCTCCTCCTCCTCCTCTTCCTCCTCCTCCTCTTCCTCCTTTTTCCCCAACTCTCAAGACTCCCAGCAGCAGCAGCAAGCAGCATCCCAGCAGCAGCAAGGGCAGTTGGCAGGGCTCTTAACGTCCTTCTCCTCGCTCTCCCTCCAGCCTCTGGAGGTCTGGGGCAACACCGTTCCCTCTGATGACCTCCCGCTGCTCACGCTCACTCTCCCCGTGCCCCAGGCGATACAGAGGGCTGTGGCTGCGCGTGCAGCCACGGCAGCGGGGGGTGAGTGGGTGACGTGCTACGTGGATGATGATTTGAGGGTGGATTGCAACGAGGAAGGGCTGTTCCTCGCGTTTGCCCGCGCAAGTGAATGAGCTAGTGAGCCTTGTTTTTCGGCTAAGCTGTGTGACGTACTCGGTGACGTGCTCCGCGGATGATGATTTGAGGGTGGATGGATTGCAACGAGGAAGGGCTGTTCCTTCTGGCGTTTGCCCGCGCTCGTGAGAGCTTTCGTGGGACCTGTAGTGCTACACAGGGTTCAATTGTACGGTAGTTGGTCACGAAGTTGACAGGTCTTGGTGTGGTGAAGGATATGCTTATGAGGGGACTTAGCCAGGATTCTATTACTACAGTGCACATGATTTGTCGTTACCTGATAAACCAGCCCTGCAAAACTTTTATTTCACATCAATTTTCTTTCCACTCTGTGTATGCTCAGTTCGGACTGCGCACTATCTGCTGCTGTCTTTCTTAGGTCCTGTTCTTCGACCGAAGTGCTCTCATCTCAAGGCGCCACTGTGCCGTACCACTGACTGCTCCTCTCCTCTCCGGTCTGGACAGAGCCTTGCCCAACCCCAGTGCCAACATAACGTAACATGCATGTGCTCCTGGAGGCTCAGGTCCGGAGGAATCGGTACCAGTTCAGTAGCAGTTCAGTACCAGCTCCACCACACACCCATCCATCACCACTGATACCGTGTCGTGGGTTGTGCCGTGTTGCACATCCAACGCATTATAATACGGTAACGTGTACTACAGATTTGTGATCATAGGGGCAGCTGTAGATCAGCCTCGGCGCCTCGCCAAGTGTGTGAATCCCCAACACAGAACCAGCTGAAAACTGTACATGCTAAGGCGGCACCAGCTTGATAATAATGAGGAAGGGAATTATGAAGACTGTACGGGTAGCGTGTGAGGTTGAGCGACGGGGAGGGAGACAGGGAGGGAGGAGAGCGTGAGCCAGCGAGAGCAGGGCTGGAACCAAACTCCATCGTGGGGGTGAGCATAGCATAGCATAGCGCAGCGTAGCATAGTACGGTAGTACCAGTAGGTGTGCGAGTGTGGGTGTGGAAGTGAATGCAGGTGCGTGGCCCACAGTAGCAGGGCTTGGCTTCTCTCTAGGTTCAACCTACTCTAGGAACATCTTGGAGAGGCGCTCATATTTGCCAATGTTGTGCCCGCCTGCATAGTGCACTATAAAGTCCCCTGGCGTGTACTCGTTCTGCGTGTGGCTGCACGGCACACTCATGTACCTGCCAAGGGGGGGTGAGGGATGGGGTAATGGATGTATGTTTTTTTTAGGCGCCTCGAATGTTGTGCCCGCCCGCATAAGGCACTATGATGAAGTCCCCCGGGGTGTACTCGTTCTGCGTGTGGCTGCACGGCACACTCATGTGCCTGCCAAGGAAGACCGGAGGGGACGGATGAACGTAACGGTCATCAGTTACAGTAAACGCTTGATAAAAAAGGGGACGGTTGGTGATGGGAGGAGACTGCCTGGAAACAGTTGGAATACCACAGCATGACGTGGCATGATACCAGTTAGACATGATGCTGACGTGGCGCCATACCTGTATGGGATGATGCTGACGTGGGCATGGAAATCCTCTGGGTGCTTGAGGCGGTAGAGGTCAATGGCGTCATGATCCCAGAACTCCTGCCTGATGGACGAGTGGTAGAACTGGTACTGCGCCTCCAGGAACGACTGTGAGGTGATGGCATGTTGGGCGGGGGGGGGGGGGGGAAGGGGGAAGAGGCAGTCATTACAGGGCAATGGCATGGTTCCAACATGGTATAGCGTGGTTCCAACACTCCTGCCGGATGGGCGAGTGGTAGAACTGGGACTGCGCCTCCAGGAACGACTGCCAAAAGGTAGGTATGGGCGCGAGAGGCAGTCGATACAGAGAAGTGGCACGGTGGTTAATGAGGCGCCTCAAAAGTCTCATCAGAGTGTGCTTCCAACACTCTTGCCGGATGGATGAGTGGTAGAACTGGTACTGCGCCTCCAGGAACGACTGCCAGTTGATGGTATGAAGGGGGAGAGACAGACGGGCATGGGAAAACGGCAGGGTATCAGAACATGGCGACGGATGGACGTGTGGTATAACTGATACCCTCTTTTCACCCCATCCCCTCCCCATCCCCCTCCACCCACCCTCCACCCTTCACCACCCCACCTCTTCCCCCCTCTCCCCCTCTCCTTGCTCCAAGCCGTGCTGCGCATGACATACACGCCTGTGTTGACCTGCGACTCGGCCCTCGGCTCGGCATTTCGCCCGTACCGGTACCCCATGGTGTACACAGCATCGCTGCGCGACGTGTTGTAGGGCGCGGGGAGGCACAACCCGTACTGCACAACAATGCGCCACATACACCAATCCCCCCAGTCCTCGCATCTTTCCCCCATTCACGTCCCCTCTTTTTTACTCCATCTCCTCTCCTCCCAATGCCTCCACCCTTCCATATTCCCCCTCCACCCTCCTCAATCCACCCACCTTGCTCCAAGCCGTGCTGCGCATGACATACACGCCCGTGTTGACCTGCGACTCCGCCCTCGGCTCAGCATACCGGCCATACCGGTACCCCATGGTGTACACAGCATCGCTGCGCGACGTGTTGTAGGGTGTGGGGAGGTCGAGCAGCGAGTGGAAGGAGAGCGTGTGGTTGAGGATGAGCGCATCCGCGTCTATGTGCACCACTGTGTCTGCGAAGGAAAGCACCAGCAGCGTGGCTCGCACCTGGTGGGGTTAGGGGGAGAGAGCGGAGGGGAAAGACGAAGCTGAGGACATCGGATGAGAGCACCCACATCGGCGTCTATGTGCACCACTGTATCCGCAAACGATAGAACAAGCAGCATGGCTCGCACCTGCAGCAGCAGTGGGGAGAAGTGGGGGGGGAGAGGAGAGGAAGGAGAGCGTGTGGTTGAGGATGAGTGCGTCCGCGTCTATGTGCTGTGCAGTGCACCACTGTGTCTGCAAAGGAGAGCACGAGCAGCATGGCTCGCACCTGGAAGGGGACGTGGGAGAGGGTGGAGGGGAAAGACGAAGCTGAGGACATTGGATGAGAGCATCCGCGTTTATGTGCACCAATGTCTCTGCAAAGGAGAGCACGAGCAGCATGGCTCGCACCTGGAAGGGGATCGGGGGGAAGAGGAGGAAGGCGGGGCGAGTGACTAGCTGAGTGAGTAAGTTGGTAAGTGAGCAGGAAATGAGCGAGTGAGGGAGTGAGCGAGGCAGTGAGAGAGATTGAGGGAGGGAAGGAGGGAGGGAGGGAGGGAGGGAGGGAGGGAGGGAGGGAGGGAGGGAGGGAGGGAGGGAGGGATGGAGGGAGGGAGGGAGGGAGGGAGGGAGGGAGGGAGGGAGGGAGGGAGGGAGGGAGGGAGGGAGGGAGGGAGGGAGGGAGGGAGGGAGGGAGGGAGGGAGGGGGGGATGGAGGGAGCGATTGAACGAGTGAGAGAGGCAGACAGGAAGGGTACGCACCTTGGACCAGGCGTGGGGGCGCACATAGTCAAGGCTAACAGCCACCTCGCGGTATCTGCATGCATGGAGCGCACAGTACAGCAGCCGGTTGCGCTTCTTGCGTCGATTCAGAAATTACCTTGGACCAGGCGTGGGGGCGCACGTAGTCAAGGCTGACAGCCACCTCGCAGTATCTGCATGCATGGAGCGCACAGTACAGCAGCCGGTTGCGCCGCATCAACACCACATAGTCCTGCCCACGCCCGGTGCAACCGAGCAAGAGAGAGTGAGAGCAAGCGAGAGGAAAGGAGGCAGAGAGTGAGAGTGAGCGAGAGATCAGACAAAATATAGGATGGGGCAGTGGGAGGAGGGATATGCATGGAAAGGAGGGGATAGGGATGTATGCAACGGGGGATGTTTAAGAGTGTGAAGGGAACACAGGGAGGGAGCAATTGGAGGAGAAGAGGGCGAGACAGGATAAGAGCCATAGATCAAGCTCTTGAGTTCATTCAGCTTTCCCTCGCTGAACTCCAACTCACAAATCGCACGCCTGCCCGCACACCCTCAGGCCCCCAGAAGAGCCAATGGGCACACAGATGGGCGGGCGGGCAGGCGGGCAGGAGGGCAGGCACGGACCTGGGGCAGGCACGGACCTGGGGCAGGTCCAGTGCGACAGTGAGCAGTGTGAGGTTGCCATGGCCGAAGCAGAGTGACGTGGGCTTCTCAGACCAGCGCATCTGCCGCTGCAGCAACTGCTCGTCTATGCCCTCTGCTGCTGCCGCTGCCAGCGCTGCTCCCAGCCCGTGGCTTACCCCCCCTGCCCCGTCTGCTCCTTTCTCCCTTGCTGCTGCTGCTTGCGCGCGTGCGGCTGCGGCCCACTTGCTGCTCGTGTGCTCTGATACGAAGTCTGCAGGGCAGAAGGAAGGAGTGAATTGGAAATGGAAATGGAAATGGAAAGGGAAAGTAGAAATCGAGTCTTGTCGTGTGTACGAAGCCCGAGGCTGAGGAAATGACGGGCGAAAGGAGAGACTGTCATGTACAATGGGAAAGTAGGAGTGGTGGTGAAGACATGGGCGGTAATGAGCAGCTGAGACAGATGGAATGAGAATGAGCAGCTGAGACAGACAGAGAGGTAATGAGCACCTGAGACGGAGGGGTCTGGGGGAATGTGCAGGGCGCGGCGCACAGCAAAGGCGCAGGTAATGAGCAGCTGAGACAGATGGAATGAGAATGAGCAGCTGAGACAGACAGAGAGGTAATGAGCACCTGAGACGGAGGGGTCTGGGGGAATGTGCAGGGCGCGGCGCACAGCAAAGGCGCAGAAGGCGATGAGCGCGAGGTAGCCCACGCGCATGAGCGCGCGCTGGCGCGTGGAGAAGCGGCGGCGCTTGGGGGAACCGGCCATGAGGAGGAGCAGCGGGAGGTGGCGGGGAGGGGGAGATGGGCGGAAGGAAGGGGGTGGGGAAGGAGGGGGAGGGAGAAAACGAGAGGTAGCGGGAGAGCGAGGGTGGGGGAGAGAAGGGGGCGCGGGGAATAGGAGAGGGTGGGGGGGTCGGAGCTCGGACTACGGAGAGAGCGAAATGCTGTGAAACGTCAGGAAAGGGAGGAGGCGCAGGTGATGCTGGTGATTGTGTTGGGACGGTGCTGGGAGAGTGAATTCTGACGCGCTTCGCTTGCATCCTACGCTGCGACCCTCCTCAAACCCGTCGACTGTCGCCGTCTGTCGCCACTGCCGCCGTTGTCACCAGTGTCTTCGCTGTCTTAGCTATCTCGCTTGCTGTGAGCCCGTTCCCTGCGCTGGATTCCGCAAGCCTAGTAATGTACCCTTCGCCTGACTGCTCTAGTGACTAAATAATACTACTTCGAGCATCCGTCGACTACATCCGCTTATCGCCAGGCCACGATATTCGTGTTTGTGCAGCTGCCATTGTCGCACTCAGCGGCTTGTGTTTTCATAGTCGCATCCTCCTCCTCTCCCCGCCGCATCTCCATGCGACAAAACTGCCCGTATATCGAAGCGGCGAGGAACGCGACCGCAGAGTGAAGCGTTTTGGGTTACGACGAAAGCACCACTGGCGGTGAAAGTCGTAGTGGTGCTTGAGAAAGGCTGCCTCGGGAATGTCAGCCGAAAAGTGGGGGGAAATCTCGAGGTTGGATGAAAGGATCAGCAGAAAGCAGAAATAGGGGAACGTGAAATTCTGCCGAAAGAGTTTGTCGTTAGCAGCTCTCCCGAAACCCGTCTGTCATACTCCGTGTACACTTCCTTGATCCAACATAAGTGTTTACACAATTCCTGTTAGTGGGCTCAATGCCCTGCTATCATGAGCTCGTTGGAGGTACCGTACTATTCCAATGAAAGCAACATGGATATATCGTACAAGGAACAATTATCCTTCCATTACTGCATGACATAAGAGCTAATTGCTTAGAGGTGAAAGAAAAGGAGCAAAAAAGGATGCACTTCAAAAAGGTACACAAAAGGGCCAAGACTAAAAACAGACATACGGCCCCCCGTATCTTCCTCAGTAGCATAAAGTTTACAACTTGGATCGTCCAGGGATCAAGGGAGCGGTCTGCTGGAAGTAGGCAGACGCAGCCGCCACTCCAGAGCCAAGCACCACTGGGTATCCCACATCTCGAAGAGTCATTTCAGTTCCTGCTAGGGCTCCAAGGAGTGCAACCTGCAGAGGAAAATAGCAAGGCAAGAGAGTAGGAAACAAGTAAGAGTCAGTAAAGCCCGAGCCCGAGACAATGCAAATCAAGCCAATAGGGCGCCACGAGTACAGTAGCATAACCATTTTCACTTGACTCCACCTTCCATCAAACACCCATCCTCATGCCCATTCGCTCTTTCCCACTTTCCCCCCCTTCCCCTCCCCAGCGTTCCCCTCACCCATCCTCCTCCTCCACTCACCTCATTCATCTGCCCCAGGTGGCCGATGCGGAACGCCTTGCCATTAATCTTGTTCAACCCGAGCCCGAGCGACAGGTTGTACTTGTTCCACGCGGTGCGCACAATATCATTGCTGTTGATATGCGCCGGCACGAGAATCGTCGTCACAGTATCGCTCTTCCACTCGGGGCTCTTGGTGCACAGCTGCAGGCCCCAAGCCGCCACAGCGCGCCGAGTGCCCTCTCCCAGGCGCGCATGCCTTGCGAACACGTTGTCAAGGCCCTCGGCGAAGAGCATGTCGAGCGATGCGCGCAGACCGTAGAGCATCTGGGAGGAGGGAGTGTACGGCCAGTAGGTGCCCGCCTGGTAGAACTTGAGGTAGTCTGCCCAGTCAAAGAACACGCGGGTCGACTTGCTGCGAATGAGGAGCAGCGGCATGGGAGTAGGGAGAGAGAGGGACGGAGTGGGAAGGTTAGGAAGGAGGAGTGGAGGGATTGCTGGAAGGGTGCGGGAAGTAGGGGCTGTATATCGCTAGAAGGTTGGTGGCTTGGTAGCTTAGGACTTTCAGGCTCTTGGCAGCTCTTGTTTGGTCTGTCCGTTCTCCCTCTCGCATTCCGCATTCATCCAAGCACCGAACCAACCCAGTGACCACAACATAACACAACCTCAAACAGCTTTCCCTCACAGCTCCCACCCTCCCACCCCCCTCCCCGCACCCAATCCCCTCAGTAACCCCCCCACTGTTCCGTACCTGTGCTTGGCGGCCTCGAGGGCGCGCGGGCGCGCGCAGACAATGCCGAGACCCGTGGGGAGAGACAGCGCCTTCTGGGACCCGGTCAACGCCACGTCCACGCGCCACCTGCACGCACACGCACGAATACAGACAGAGAACCAGAGCGACGTGAGAGGGGGAATTGAGCCACGCGTGGAGATACGGTTACACGAGAGATGAAAGAGAGAGAAAGAGAGAGACATTGACTCGTGCAAGCGCTTATAGAAGAGAGCAGCGACAGAGCAGATACTAGCGACAGCATACTTTGCCTAACAAATTCCACTAAAAAAACGGTCGGAAGGAGTGCGAGAGAGTTCGATGTGAGGGGGGAGCAGGAGGCGGAAATGGGGTCGTACTTGTCCTGATAGAAGGGAATGGCGCCGATAGAGCTGACACCGTCCACCATCAGCATCGCCTTGTGGTTGCACTCGTCTGCGCGCATGGGCGGGACATTCAGAAGCGGCGCATGTGAATATGTGAGGGAGAGGTTGGTGGAAGAGGGGTAAAGACTAGGAAGGGAAGACTGGTAAGAGGCGGGACGGGAGGGGATGGATGGTATTGGACGAAGAAGAAGCAGCAACGCTACCAACGGCACCGCCCGGCACCGGAACTCACCGAGCACTTGTCGCACTTTGCCGATGTCGTTCGTGACGCCCGTGGCCGTCTCGTTGTGCACGACGCACACCGCCTTGACCGTGCCCGCGCGGTCCGCCAGCAGCTTCCGCCGCAGCACGTCCAGGTCCGCGCCCGCGCCCCACTCGCAGTCCACCACGTCGACGTCGAAGCGCAGGCGCTGCATCTGGTCGATCCAGAGGAGCGAGAACTGGCCGATACGGAACGAGATGATGCGGTCTCCCGGGGAGAGCGTGTTCGTGAGCGCCGACTCCCACGCGCCCGTGCCTGCAGAGGCGGTGCAGGGAGCGGAGGGGGAAGGGGGGAAGGGCGAGGGACGAGCGAAGGTTGGAGGAGAGGGATTGGAGTGAGTTTAATGGCTGGAAGTGGTACGGGGACGGGAGGTTACTGGAACGCGGAAGATATTGACGGTAGATGAGCAGTGGTAGGGATATCCGCAGAAGAAACGGAGTTGAAGGTCCAATATTATATATATTTGTAAAGATGACAGTGGTCATCGAGACAAGGAGACTCGAGGTATGTGTGCCTGGCAGCAGGTAAACGTACATCCGGTGATCCCACCCTATATGCTGGCGAATCCAAGGGCAATCGCGGAAAGAAAAGATAAATAATACAACCGTGATTCAGAAATTCAACCCTGCCAGAGTTTAGGTTAGCCGACATAAGTTCAGGGTCGAAGCGTACCTGTGGCGGGGAAGATGAAGCAGGTGCCCTCGGTGGAGCCGAAGAGCTTCTTGCTGTCCTCGATGACGCTCTTGCTCAGAACGGGGAAGGCGGGCGACCGATGGTCCTCATTGCCGCGCAGCATGGCGCGTTGCACCTGCTCGGGGACATTCGTCGGGCCGGGGACGAACAGGTGGTTGCGGCCGGGACCGGGATAGTACTCCATGGCTGCTGGCGCTGCTGGTGGAAGTGGACAGAGGAGGCGGTGTAAGGTCGTGCGTTGCGGCGCCTGCTAGGTTGTGATTAGAGTTGCGGAGCGGAGTCCGATAGTGAGCGGGAGGACGCAAGGAATGAGCGGCAGCGAGCAGCTGGGAGGAGCTCAGGCAATGGAGAGATAGAGATTAGGAAATCTGAATGCCTGATAGCATAGGAATGGGAATGCCGATGTTTATATATTATTGGGAAATGGGCAGCCACTTTGAGGGGAGATGTGCATCCTGTGTTGCACGCTGGGTGGAAGCGAGGGTGGATATTAGCAGCGAAAGCCCCCCTCCAATTCGACAGTGTCAAGGAAGAATTCGCCTGTGGCGACGATGCACAGTTGATTTCGCAGCGTGTTACGATGATGCGAACAACGTTCGCAACAACTGGCGAAGTGGTTGGTGCTTGGGTGAATGCACGCACCTAGAACTAGCTCGAACCACTCACAGCACGAGGCGATGCGCGCTTGCGCTTGGTTGACCTGGCGCGGTTCGTTCTCCCCACCCTTTCGCGGACCTGGTCACAAATCCAGCCTTGAGGCAGAGGGGAATGGAGGATCAGTGCTCCAAGCTGGTTTGCCACAGCTTTGATGCCACGTAGGCTTGTTTTGATTGGAGAGAGTTTCTTTCGCCACGTCAACAGGTGGTGGGGAGTGCGTGGGACTGCATCCCAAGTGAGGCTCGCCTCTTCAACCTCGTCCTCGTCCAGACACACACTCGTTTGGCTGTCCCTCCACACCACACGGCACAAATGTAGCTCTCAAGGTACATGACCAAGTACATCCCACGTGGAATGAACCGAGCCTACAAACAGCCTTTCACACACCAGGCCTCGATAGAGATCTACGGTTGGCTCCAAATACATTGACCAGATCCCCACGTCGTCACCCAACCAATCACAATTTCCGAAGCTGGCTTCTTTGAGGAGACACCGCAATTTCTCGGTACAGAACAATTTACGAGCGGCTTTGCACGGTTACATACTGGGTATTGTGTGCGAGGCTCGGGGCCAAGCCGACACTTGTCCACCACACAACCCCTAGCCACCCAAGGCCCCTCCCGCACCTGCTCCAAACCTGAGGCACCTTCCCCCACCTCCCCGCCCTACCCCCAAGGTCACCCCGTAGGTCCCCCTACGTCCAAGTATAGCTCCTAGGATGATCCGCTTCGCCCACCCATCGACAATCAACCCCACCCCATCTCACCCCACCAAACCCAACCCAATCTACCCACTTCAGGAAGAGATGCCACTGGCTGATCATCAAGTGATTCAGCGCACCACGTGCCATCACTGCCACAAACACAACCACTCCGTGACTGTATCTCATCTCCGCAACTTGCGCGGAGCCAACTGCATGACTCTCTAGTTCTCCCAGCTCGTATTGGCTGCTCGCAAAACAACCCGTAACGTTCCTAGACTTTCTAGGGAAGGGTCGGCCTTATGGCTCTGGCCCACCACGACTTGACTCGGCCATACCTGCATTATCGCGTGGAGCCCACTAATTTAATCGCAACGCGTCTCATCCCTGCGTCATCCGTTATTCGCCTCTCCCCGTCCGTCCGCAAGCTGGATCTCGTCGGCGAGTCCACTAATTTAGCCGCCACGTCAGCAGCCACATCGCATCCACTATCCGAGCTGTTGAACAGCTCCACGCTCCGTTTAAGAAGCCCAAGCAGACGTGGCGCCTCCGCAACACGGTCTTCAGCGGCAGCGTCGGATTATCCAGGATCTGTGGAGCGATCCGCGGAAGAGAGCGAAGCAGGAAGCTCTGGCGGCGGCGGAGCAGCGGCGGTTAATGTGCTGGATCGGGGGACTAATGCAGAAGAGGCATCGCTGCTTGCAGAGCGTAGAGGTAACGCGCTGGGGGAGTCGCGGGACGGCTTTTTCTGGAGCGATTCAGAAGACGAGGCAGGAGGAAGGCATGGAAATGGCCGTGGCGATGACGATGGTGATGGAGGGAATGCGAGGCGCGATACTCACTCAACAACCTCTTTGTCGCCGCCGTCGCGACTGTGGCACGTGTTGTCCGTGATCAATGACAGTGTACGTACGCTCTTTTGCGTCATCGCAACAGTTTACTCACTTTTGCCTTTTCACTGTGCGAAACGTAACCCAATAGGAGATCCACACAAACGGTCCTTGGAGGTTAAAAACGGTACAGTCTTGCCTCCATCACTTGTTTGCCTTACGTTTGTGAGATTTCCAGAATATGTACCTAGAGCGATTAAAGCCGTTGCCATGATGAATACATATCCAGATAACCAGCAACCCAACTCCCGTGATTCTCCAAGACGCTAATCACTCTCGTAACAACTCATTCTATTCCTCTCCCTCCCTCCCTCCCTCCCTCCCTTGTTTCCTTTGGCTCCACCTCTTTATTTTCTCCCTCTCCCCCCCACCCGCCCTTCTCTCCCGCCCATCCCCCCTACCTCTCCCCCCCCCACCCCCCTCCATCCTCCCCCATCCCCCGCGCCCCCGCCAACAGACCAAGTGGGTGGCTACAGTCGCGACAGCCGTGACGGTGCTCGCGACGCACAACCGAGCCGCGGCGTGGTTCGTGGTGGGCGCCGTGCTCAACGTCGCCAACGGCAAGGCGCTCAAGCGCATTCTCCGCCACGAGCGGCCCGAGACGGCGCGCGGAAAGAAGGCGGATCCCGGCATGCCGTCGTCGCACGCGCTGAGCCTGTCGTACCTCTCCGTCTATGCCGCTGTTGCAGGTAATGCTCTCAGCTGGGTTGGGAATTTGAGATGGCTCTCAGGGAAGGGGAAGGGTAATGCTCTCAGAGTACGTGGGGGGTGGGTGTGGGCGGGGGGGGGGGGGGGGGGGGGGGGGGAGGGGGGAACAGACGGGAAAGGGTAATGCTCTCAGACTGTGGAATTTAGGCGTCCCTAAACCCTGGCATTCCTTCTCTTTGACTTGGCGCTGTTGCAAGTATTTCTCTCAGGGTGGGAGGGGATGGAAGGGAAAGGTTAATAGAAGTAAAAGGTTGGGCGAAAGGGAGTGGGATGCGGAGGGAGGAAGAGGAGGAAGGAGGGAACAGTGGCGGGAGGGGTGTGGAGAGGGGGGATAGTGTGTGTGAGGAGCGGTGTGGATGACGGAGAGGAGGAGAGAGTGACTCTCACGTGCTGGAGGAGAGTGGAAACGGTAATGCTTCAGCTCCAGCATCACTCTCTCTTGCTTTCCCTTCCCTCAAACATCATCCACCCACCCATCCACCCTTCCCTCAAACATCATCCACCCACCCATCCACCCACCCACCCACGCACATTGGCCTACAGCTCTGAGTCGCTGAGAGTCACATGGGGTGTCACCATACAGACACCATAACTGCCTCTTGAATCGACTCAAAATCTTTCCGCTTTCCTTCCCCACCTCCCCTCTCCCTCCCCCCCTCTTCCCACATGGCCCTCCTTCTCCAGGTCTGCAGTGCTATGGCATGACACCATACACCATAACTGGCGCCTCTCTACTGGTCTCTCTTGCGGCCTTCTTGGTAAGCCATAGCTCAGGAGCAGTGCTTGCTGGCACGCTCTAGGAAGCTTTGTGACAATATCCTTCCTTGGTCCCTCCCTGCTATATCATCGCTATCCCTTCCTCCCCTTGGCCGACTCATTCCCCATCACGTAGTTTCCTCGTGTTCCATCCATGTGACGACTTTTGAGGCGCCTCAACATTTCCCATCGCTAAATTTCCTCATGTTTCATCATGACTTGCGGCTGTGCCAGCTCGCCTGTAGACCTTGCATCGCATGTGGCTCTGCTCTCCCTGTTTTCCTGTCTCTCCCTCGTCGCCCCCTTCCCCTCTTCGCCCTCGCTCAAAATCTCCCAGCACCCTTCCATCCTCACTCCTGCCACCCCTTGCCTCTGAGTTCTGACATGTCCTCCTCCTCCTCCTCCTCCTCCTCCTCCTCCTCCTCCTCCTCCTCCTCCTCCTCCTCCTCCTCCTCCTCCTCCTCCTCCTCCTCCTCACCATGTTCCTCCCACACTAATCCCACCAACCTGCCAGCCCATCCCAGCTTCCACGCCCCCTTCGCCCTTCTCACCTGCTTCACCCTCCTCCCCTCGTGGCGTCCCCCGTGCAAACCCCACTCCCACCTTCCACTCCAGGCAATACCGCGAGTCCTCCTAGGCCTCCACACATATGTACAGATTGCTGTCGGCTGGGGAATGGGCACAGCCATGGCCCTTATCTTTTGTGTCGACTCAAAAGTTTCCTCTCCTCGTGGTCTCCCCCATCCAAACCCCACTCACACCTTCCACTCCAGGCCATACTGCGAGTCCTTCTAGGCCTCCACACATATGCACAGATTGCTGTCGGCTGGGGAATGGGCACAGCCATGGCTCTCCTCTGGTCGAACGCCGCCTCCTCTCTCCCGCAGTTGCCGTTTCTGCAGCAGCATGCAGCGTGGGTCGATGGGGGTGTGGCAGTGGCGGGAATGGTGATGTTTTCTCTCTTTGTTCTTGTGGAAGTGAGGAAATGGCTTGCCAAGGCTGGGGGAGGGGTGCGACGTGGGGGGGAGAACGGGTGAGCTGAGTTACCGTACCTGTGTGAGGTGAAGTGGACTGGGAGTTAAAATGATATGATTTACCAGGCTTCAGCCCGGCATGCGACTCACTTCACGCACATCTATGAGTAGACCTCGAAAATCTCATGCGTCTCAGTTCTTGTACGGTATCTTCACTGTAAAGAGTCATTTCGATCTGTTGTGAGCTAGGGTTAGGAGGCTGCATTCTGTTTTGTTGTGAGACCCATGCGGTGAGCAATCTTGCAACTGCACATAGTAACGGAGTCGAGCGTCAGATTCAAGCAGGGTTAAATATCGAACAGTGGTTATTATGAAGCATGTGTGGAACAGTGTGATGATGGTTGTTCAAATGGAGACAGTTTGCATGCAGCTGGAACCTGGATGTTATAAGCATGCCAAAAACCATGAGATATGTTATCCTGCTGTCGTAGGTTGATACTGTATCAGTTCGCATGGTTCCTTTGATACTTTCTCGCACTAATTTTATATGTAGAATCCAGAAGAACTCATGGTTGCGGACAAGCGTGGCAGAAGCACCGTACCATCTTATCCTGAGATGGAAGCCACGTGACTATATAATAATATAACATAAGAGAAGCAGCAGCAGCACAAGAGGTGCCCGACCAAGTAACTCAGTGCATGTGGGTTGCCCATGCCACCGCTCCCAGTGCGCCTCCTCCAATAATCGCCAGAGGTGCTGGGATCTGCACGGAGCCACATTCACCAGCCAGCACGCATTGCATCCGTACAGCACAAACAGTAGGGTATGACTTGGCTAATTAGACACCAGTAGGGCATTAACAGCTGCACAAGGACCCCAGGAGGCTGGCTTGGCTTCTGTTCAGAGGCGCCTCAGAAGTCCTCTACTCTCTCACTCTAGTGCATGGACAGTCATGCAGTACATAAGGCACTGCAATTGCCAACAGGGCCTCTTTTCCAGCAGCAAGGTATGCAGTACCCGACTGTTTGAGGGGCCATGTGGGGCGACTTTGAGTCGAATCGTGAAGCCATATTTTTTCCCAGAAGCAGCACATGCAGCACACACACACGCGTGCGCTGCGCAGTATTTGAGGTGCCTCAAAAACACATGAGGCATGCAGACACGCAAGCACGCCCTGAGAAAGGTGCTGCGTAACTTGGTGGCTAACTAGCCAATCATGGCAATGCAGAGCAACTTTTGAGTCGACTAGAGAAACCATCTTATTGCAGCAGCAGCAGCAGCAGCAGCAGCAGCAGCACGCGCACACACACACAAACACACACAGACACGCATGCGCTTGTACCTTGAGGAAGTTGGTGGCAGCGTAGCCAATCATGGCAATGCAGAGCGAGGCCATGGGGAAGGGACTGCGGCTGTACGTCTGTAGACCCAGCGTGAACACGGACGCCCAGATGAGACCAATCTGTGCAGCAGGAGAGAGAGAGAGGGGCGGAGGAGGGGGGGGGGGAGAAGAAAGGGCATGTGAGAGAGTGCATGACATTGTGAGGGAAGGGGTATGCATGGTTTGGGGTGACGGAATGGGGACAATGTCGGTGAAAGGCGCTTGGAGCGTTTGCGCTGAGGAACAGAGTCGGATTTGGGGCAGGGTGGAAGAGAGTGGGATTCATGCACCAGTTGAGCATATGGGCTGAGATTCGGGGCAGAGAGAGGCAGATTGAGCAGAGAGGGGCAGATTGCCAAGGGGGGTGGACTGGAAGTACGCAATTAGCCGGTAAGGATGAGCGACGGGGGCTTACTGCAGTGGAGTTGAATCCTGGTGTGGCACGCTTGTAGCTGCATGGCAGGCGGATAGGATAGGGATACAGACAGGAGGCAAGCAGTGAGAGGAGGGATGTGGTGTGGATGTTGAGAGAGAGGGAGTGCAAGCAAGATTGAAAGCAAGAAGGGGACGTGGAGGACAGACGGGTTGCGGCAAACAAACACTTATTGCCAAAACGCGCCCCTCCCCACTGCTGCCTCCGACCCTTCCCACCCACGACAAAACCCTCTCCCCTGTGAAACCCTATAAACCAGTAGTTTTCTCTATCCAACACCTCCCCCCGCCCTCCCCTCCCCAACCCAACCCTGAACTCGTTGCTGCTGAGATGAGCAGCTCACATGTGCCACTGGCGGAAGATGAGAAGCGGCCCCAGAAAGGGCGAATGCCGTAGATGAGCAAGCACGATGCCGAGGGAGAAAGAATTCTCAAAAGTGATTTCGATATGGGAGAAAGAGCCCCACCCAGCATTTAAAGCCCCCTCCATTCTCCCAGCTATCACTAAAACCCCCCGCCACCTCTTCTCCCCCTAGCGCTTCCCCCCCCCCCCCCCCCCCCCCCCCCCCCCCTCCCCCCCCCCGAGCAGTGCAGCTCACATGTGCCACTGGCGGAAGCGGCCCCAGAAGGGCAGAATGCCGTAGATGAGCAGAATGCCCGGCGAGAAGAGCCCCAGCCAGCACGCCGCTATGCCCCCGAACTTGCCGATCTGCGACGAGATGGGAAAGGGAGAGGGTGGGTGGGTGAGTGAGTGAGTGAATGGGTGGGTGAGTGGGAGGGTGGAGCGGCGGGTGTGGTATGGAGAGGTGGGTGGTTGAGAGCGAATGAACAGCCCGTCCAATCCAGTCAGCCAGGCAGCCAGGCATGCCAGGCATGCTGCTGTTGCGCTAAGCCGGATGAGGGCTTACACATTGAATCAGGAGGCTTAGCGCAACGCACAGGCAACAAGAAGCACCTACACATTGAGGGAAAGAAGGGTACATGTGGAGAGGGAGGGTGTGTTTTGAGTCGACTCAAAACGCACAGGCAACAAGAAGCACCTACACATTGAGGGAAAGAAGGGTACATGTGGAGAGGGAGGGTGTGTTTTGAGACAACTCAAAACGCACAGGCAACAAGAAGCACCTACACATTGAGGGAAAGAAGGGTACATGTGGAGAGGGAGGGTGTGTTTTGAGTCGACTCAAAACGCACAGGCAACAAGAAGCACCTACACATTGAGGGAAAGAAGGGTACATGTGGAGAGGGAGGGTGTGTTTTGAGTCGACTCAAAACGCACAGGCAACAAGAAGCACCTACACATTGAGGGAAAGAAGGGTACATGTGGAGAGGGAGGGTGTGTTTTGAGTCGACTCAAAACGCACAGGCAACAAGAAGCACCTACACATTGAGGGAAAGAAGGGTACATGTGGAGAGGGAGGGTGTGTTTTGAGTCGACTCAAAACGCACAGGCAACAAGAAGCACCTACACATTGAGGGAAAGAAGGGTACATGTGGAGAGGGAGGGTGTGTTTTGAGTCGACTCAAAACGCACAGGCAACAAGAAGCACCTACACATTGAGGGAAAGAAGGGTACATGTGGAGAGGGAGGGTGTGTTTTGAGTCGACTCAAAACGCACAGGCAACAAGAAGCACCTACACATTGAGGGAAAGAAGGGTACATGTGGAGAGGGAGGGTGTGTTTTGAGTCGACTCAAAACGCACAGGCAACAAGAAGCACCTACACATTGAGGGAAAGAAGGGTACATGTGGAGAGGGAGGGTGTGTTTTGAGTCGACTCAAAACGCACAGGCAACAAGAAGCACCTACACATTGAGGGAAAGAAGGGTACATGTGGAGAGGGAGGGTGTGTTTTGAGTCGACTCAAAACGCACAGGCAACAAGAAGCACCTACACATTGAGGGAAAGAAGGGTACATGTGGAGAGGGAGGGTGTGTTTTGAGTCGACTCAAAACGCACAGGCAACAAGAAGCACCTACACATTGAGGGAAAGAAGGGTACATGTGGAGAGGGAGGGTGTGTTTTGAGTCGACTCAAAACGCACAGGCAACAAGAAGCACCTACACATTGAGGGAAAGAAGGGTACATGTGGAGAGGGAGGGTGTGTTTTGAGTCGACTCAAAACGCACAGGCAACAAGAAGCACCTACACATTGAGGGAAAGAAGGGTACATGTGGAGAGGGAGGGACCCGCGCTATTTTTCGGGCACCCCCCCGCATGTGAGGTACCCTCGCCTCGCTCAAGAAAAGCTGTGCAATCGCTAAAACATACACTCAGAACGCAGTCCGTGCAACCGACTCCCAATGGCACCCAGGTAAGTATGCGGCGAAGTAGAAGAGTGGGCCGGGCATGGCCGGTGCGAGGTAGGGCGGGTCCAGCCAACCATGTTGAGTGGCCGAGCATCGCACTTGCGGTGGCCCCAGCACACGCTCAAGGCCTGTATCCAATGGACCCATTGTCACAATAGACCCATCCATGCAACCGACTCACAATGATTGAAGAAGTGTTTTGAGACGTCTCAAAACACTTCTTCAATCACGTGGCCCCAGCACACGCTCAAGGCCTGTATCCAATAGACACATTGTCACAATAGACCCATCCATGCAACCGACTCACAATGGCTCCTAGGTATGCGGCGAAGTTGAAGAGCGGCCCGGGCATGGCCTGTGCGAGGGCAAGACCGGCCATGAACTGCTGCTGCGTCACCCACGTGTTGGGCGACTCTGTGCACTGCAGGTCCACGCACATGTGGGGGGGGAATGGAGGGATATGGGGGGGTCTTTCGAGGTGGCGTTCGAAAGTCGCTACGTCACCCACGTGTTTGGGGACTCCGTGCACTGTAGGTGCGTGCGCGCACCTGGGGGAGGGGGGTGCGGCACGGCAGGGGTGTTGGGGGGGAAATGAGGGGTGAATGTGGTGGGGGATGTGTGGCGGGATGTGGGGAGGTATGAGGAGGGAGATGTGGGGAAGGGGGGGAGGGGTTGTGGAGGCATCGGGAGAAATGAACAGATGGCGCATGCTTGTTCCTATCGCCGAGGTATTCACAGCGCACCCTGGGAATTATGGCAGTACTGTACCCATGCATGGACAGCCCCCAGGCCCCAGCCCCCAGCCCCAAAACTGCTGATAGAACATCCATCACAAGTCAGCAGGATAGCGCGCGTTCCCATGCATGCATCCACCGCCACCTCCCCTCTGCCATGATTAAATCCCTGCATGCATCCACCGCCACCTCCCCTCTGCCATGATTAAATCCCTGCATGCATGCATGAAAGCATGTGGGTATGTGTGTGTGTGTGCATGCATGTATGTGTGCATGAGCATGAGCACAGCACGCGCAGCGCCGCCATTGCTGGGGCATATAGCGCACCACGACGACATGCGTGCATCAGTGCGTGCGCGCGTGCGTGCGTGCGTGCGTGCGTGCGTGCGCGCGTGCGCGCGTGCGTGCGTGCGTGCGTGCGTGCTTGCGTGCGTGCGTGCACGTTTGCGCGCATTCGTGCGCTCGTGCATTCGCACATTCACGCATGCACATGTGCATGAGCATATCACGCACACGGCCGCCATTGCTGGGCCACTCATAATGCACACCACGTCATGCGAGCATTAGTGCTTGCATGCATGCCTGCGTGCATGTCCATGTGCATGTGCATATGCATAGGCATGTTCGTCTGCATGTGCATGCATGTGCACTGCGCGTCACGCACAGCGCTGCCATTGTTGGGGCAGTCATAATGAACCACCACGTTCTCCAGCAGCGGCAGCACCACCTGTCCTCCGCCGTACGTCACCGACCCCGTCACATAGAAGCCCTGCCAGGGAGAGAACACCACGGAGGACAGTCACAGGAGTCACAGGAGGGGAGACAGATTGCACACCCACAACACGAATGAATCAGGGCTGGCAGCGGCAGCACCACCTGTCCTCCACCATACGTCACGTCACCGACCCCGTCACATAGAAGCCCTGCCAAGGAAGGGGTGAGGAAGGAAGGACCAGGGGGGTAGTCGTAGAAGACAGATCGCACACACACACATACACACACATACACACGCACACACACGCACACACAAACACACACACACACACACACACACACACACACGCACACACACACGCACACACACACCACGAATGAACAGTTGCTCCTGAAGCTCCTCTGATTGATAGCCTCTCTCTCGGTCTCTGCACACACCCCCCTCCTCTTCCGTAATAGGCCATCACATTACGGAACCCCACCTAACCCCCTCTCCCCTCCCATTTCCCCTTTTTCCCCATCCCTTCTCCCCCTCCCGTCCCATCCTCTCTCCCTTTCTCCCCCTCACCTCGAACCAGTGCATCCACTGGGCGTTCTCGTACGGCACAGCGTTCTTCACACCCATGTGCCCTCCAAAACACCAACTCTCTCACACCCATGTCCCTCTTCTCTCCACTCCATCCCCTCTCCCCATCCCGCCGTGCCCCTCGCACCTCGAACCAGTGCATCCACTGGGCGTTCTCGTACGGCACGGCGTTCTTCACCACGATGGACGTCACCAGCAGCGCCGCCCACACGAAAATCAGCAGCGCGCCACCCCACCAGCTCAACCCCAGCTTCTCAATGTCGCTGCGGGCCGGAGGGATGGGCTTGTTGTGCCCGATAATGACTGTGATGAGCCCGCCTGGGGTTGGGAGTGGGGGGGGGGGGGGAGGGGGGAGGGGGAGGGGGAGGGGGCAGACTATGTAGGTTTGATTCCATTGCAATGTCGCTGCGGGCCGGAGGGATGGGCTTGTTGTGCCCAATAATGACTGTAATTAGCCCGCAGGAGGGGAGAGGGGGGGGAGTGGGGAGGAAAGGAGGGAAGGAGGAACGGGACAGGGGAAAGAGGGAGAGGGAGGAGCGAATAGGGCACTGGCAAAGGTGAATTCTGAGCCGACTCACGCGTCGCTGCGGGCCGAGGGGATGGGCTTGTTGTTGTGCCTCATAGTGACTGTTAGTTGGGCTTGTTATGGGCCGAGCTTAGTGGAATTGGTGTCAGTATTGCTGCTGCTGTAGTGTACACTGCACCACCACAGTCCATCGCACAAACACGTGGCGCAAGGCAGCAGCACAGCGCAAAGAAGCAACGAAAACCGCGGCGCGATGCGCGACGCACGCACACTGACTGCACCGATTGATGATGAGGACGCACTCCAGCCACCGCCACGCCACGCCGCGCAGCGCAGCGCAACGCAACGCAACGCAACGCGCAATGCCGCAACGCATTGAGGTGTTTCCTGAGGCGCCTCAAAAAGGCACGTCATTCACCGCCGCGCAACGCAGTGCAGCGCAACAGGACGGACACACGCTGCACGCACGCACGCACGCACCGACGAGGATGATGGTGGGAAAGAGCCACTGCGTCTGGTAGTAGAAGGTGATGACAGCCGCGGCCACACAGAGCACCTTGGACACTCGGTCCTTGCACACCTTCTTCCCCAGCATCACCGCTGCCTCCGCCACCAACGCCACTGCTACTGCTGCCAGCCCTGCTGATATGGCTGTCAGCCACACGCCCGGGTCGACTAAGAACTGGTGGGTGGGTGGGTGGGTGGGTGGGATGGATGGATATGGATGGAGATGGATGGATGGGAATGGATAGGGATGGATGGAGATGGATGGGGATGGATGGAGATGGATGGACACGCACGCACGCACGCACGAACACACACACACACACACACACACACACACACACAGACACACACACACACGCACGAACACACACACACACACACACACACACACACACACACACGCACGCACGCACGCACGCACGCACGGCACCGAATCCCGCAAGGCTCATGACGATGAGACCAGGGTACTGGAAGAGGATGCCTGAGAGCAGCTTTGAGCCGACTGATGTAGTGTATGTCAACAACACGTAGCACCCACCCACCCACCCACCCACCCACCCACCCACGCACCTTAGCAGCGCCAAAGCCCGCAAGGCTCATGATGATGAGACCAGGGTACTGGAAGAGAATCCCTGAGAGCAGCCCGCCCGAGATGCCCTTCTGCAGGATGCCGATGGCGAACGACATTTGCGTGGATGATGGGCCTGGGACCGTCTGGCAGAGCGCTAGCAGCTCTGCGAATACATCGTCTGACATCCACCTGCGGAGAGAGGGGGGAAGGGCGAGGGGCGGGGGGCGAATGACATCTGCGTGGATGACGGGCCTGGCACGGTTTGACAGAGCGCTAGCAGCTCCGCGAATACATCGTCTGACATCCACCTGCGGAGTGAGGGACGAGGGGTGGGGGGTGAGGGGTGGGTGTTGTGTTGAGGGGTGAGGGGTGAAGAGGACGGAGATCAACAGTGGGTGAGGGGATGATGAAGAAGAGATGGAGGGGAGAGAGGGAGAGGCCAGGCCCGGGGTACTGGAAGAGAATGCCGGAGAGGCAGCGGAGGGCAGCGGAGGGCAGCGGAGGGCAGAGGAGGGCAGCGGAGGGCAGCGGAGGGAAGATGTAACGAAAGGGCAAAGGGGCAAGAGGGCAGACAGACAGACCACCGAAAGGGGGTGATGGTGTAAGGAACGGCGGGGCGGGCGTGGATGGAGGGAAGGCGGTGGCTTTTGGATTTGGATACAGGAAGTGTGAATGTGAATGTGAAGCCTACTCCCTCGCCCGAGCCGGACTTCGAGGGCCTTGTGGATCTGCGAAATGCCTCAAAACTTCAGCTCCGCGCAACTCTCTCCCCCGCTCTTCCCCCCTCCCCCCCCCCGCCCTTTTCCTCCCCCCCTCGCCCCTCACCCGCGCAGCTCGACGAAGTCCTTGTGAACTGCGCGATGTGCAACTTTAAGCGTATCAAATCTTCAGCGCCGCGCAACTCTCTCTCCCGCACCTCCCCCTCCCCCGCTCCCCCTTCCCCCCCTCACCCCCGCAGCTCGACGAAGTCCTTGTGGAACTGCGCGATGTGCGCGGACGGGCCTCCGAACGCCGTCCAACCCAGCACCGCGAACGCCATCACAATCGCGCGGTAGCTTCCGCGGGCGGTCTGGGGACGCAGGGGGGACGCGGGGAGACACGGAGGGGAAGCGGGGGGTGGAGGAGAGGGGGGAAGGAGGGAAGGGGGGAGGAAGCCGAGGGGGAAGGTGGGGGTGAAGCGGGGGAGGGGGCGGGAGAGGGTGGTGGGCATGCGGGACGCACCAGCTCTGTCAATGCTGCCCGGCCGTTGGTGCATGTGCGCGTCGTTTATTGAAACAGACGACAGAGAGGAGGAGCAAGGAGAGGTTTGGTAGGAGACGGGTCGCAGGGGTCGCAGGGGTCGCACGGTTCACCTTGGGAGGCTCTTCCACCACGACGACTGGCGGCACCACAGCGAGAGTTCCGTCGCTTTCGCCGCCATCGCCACCTTCAGCAGCACCAGCACCGTCCGCAGCGCCAGCAGCATCAGGAGCATCGGCAGCGGCCTTGGAGTCTTTTCCCGCCTTCCCCTCCGCGTCCCCGTCCCCCTCCTCGTCGCTGCTCTCCCCGCCGCAATCCTGAAGCACGGGTACGTCCGCCGTCCCCGCCTCCTTCCCCTTCTCCCCCTTCCCCGCGTCCCCGTCTGTTCCACCCGCCCCGTTCACTGCGCCCTCGAGAACCGCATTCTCCGGCGCTGCCTCGGTCCGAGGCTCCAGCCGAACCTCAGGCTCGGGCCGGCTGTGGTCCGCCGTCCCGTCGACCATAGTTGCAGCTACGCTGCACGTGCGCGCGCGGGATGAGAAAAATCACCGGAAAGCAGTGAAACAGAGGAAGGGGAGAGAGGCTAGTACTTGTTACAAGAATCACGAGCGACAAAGGGGGTTTTGTTGAACCGTAATTTGACATGCGGCGCAGGGTAGCGGAGCTCGCCATGGGTACGCGGCGCCGACACTCACGGGAATGCAGCAGGAGTCGAGAACCCTTCTCAAGGAAGCAATCACAGGACTGGGTAGGAACAGTGGCAGTGGCTGGGGATGAAGCTTAGTCCCCGCAATAGACGGAATGGTGCTGGAAAGTCAACCGGGGTCTAGGGTTTGGTGGCTTTTACACTGCGTCGCGGGGCTTCGGTAAGCCCCTGAGCTGCTTCGGGCCTGTCGAGCTCTGAAAATTTTGACGCTACGCGCAAGGGAGAGGCAGCTTTGTACAGTCATGCGTGTCTGTTCCCCTTCCCCCTACCCTCTCTGCAGACTGCCGTGATTCGATTCGTCCTCGCATGATGCGAGCGAGCGACCCTAGCTGAACCCCTACCAGAATTGAGTCAAAACGACGGTCTGATTGGAAGTGTTGGAGGAAAGGTGCTGTCTACACACACCACAATTGCGGCAACACTTGAGTAAAGCGTGGTCTATTTATGTTTTAAAGTGGTCGAGTCGGGTATTTTGCAGAAATATGTCTTTCGGGAGCCACACCGCCGATTTCTTCGACATTCCGCGGTTCGGCTGGACATTGGTGAACCAGACCTGGACGTTGCTACAAGGTACACCGCACTGGGACGAATATTCCATTTCAGCCATCCTGCAATTGTCCCATGCACGTCAACCACACAAATGCCTGACTTCGCAGCCACAAGTTTCCTGTCATCGTTCGCCAGTTTCGCGGCGGGCATGATGTGACTACTGGTAACAGGGCTGTAACATTATTGGCAAGGGTCAGAGTAAATGGCAAAAGTCATTTGGACCCATAACATTCTCACCACGCATTTTTCCGCCACCAGCACTCTCCAAATTTTGTTAATCACATCCATTTCCTGTTAATTTACAAGCAACAGTGCTCCGATGTCATGCTCTCCTGGGTTAGCAAAAGTTGTCAAAACTAAATTATATGTTTGTAGGCTGCCCATCTAGAGTACAACCTTTTTAGGGTTAGGTACTTGTACTTCCTTTCCTTGCTAGTGAATCACTTCTGCCTGATAGTTTCTAACATGGTATACAGAGCAGTAGGTCCGTAGGACCGTCTTTTTTTTCCGGGCCCACCATCCACTGCGGTTGTCGTGCTACCTCACGCCCTGCCCTGCGTCGCGCTGCTCGTGCGCGCCCTGCCCTGCCCTGCCCTGCGCTGTGTCGCCTGCCTGCAGCCCGCGCGGCCCGCGCCCTGCCTCTGCCCGCGCGTTGCCCGCTTGCAGCCCGCGCGTCGCCCGCCTGCAGCCCGCGCGGCCCGCGCCCTGCCTCGGCTTGCCCGCGCGCTGCTCTTGCCGCCCGCGCGCCGCTTTCGCCTGCCCCCGCGCAACCCCTGCCGGCCCGTGCGCCTCTCACCTGCAGCCTGCGCGGCCCGCGCGCTGCCACCGCGGCCCGCGTGCCGCCTTTAGTCGCCCGCGCGCAGCCCCTGCCGGCCCGCGCACTACCTTTGCCCGCCAGCGCGCAGCTCTTGCTGGCCCGCGCGCCGCCTTTGCCCGCCCGCGCGCCGCCTCTGCCCGCCCGCGCGCAGCCTCTGCTGGTCCGCGCGCCGCCTGTCTGCAGCCCTTGCGGCCCGCGCACTGCCATTGCCGCCCGCGCGCCGCCTCTGCCTGCCCGCGTGCTGCCTCTGCCTGCCAGTGCGCCGCCTCTACTGCCCGCGCACTGCCTCTGCTGCCCGAGCGCCGCCTCTACCTGCCCGTGCCCCGTGCTGCAGTTATGGCTACGCTCAATGTCCTAAGGTTCGACCCCGACGGCCGCCCGATAGAGTTCGCCACGTGGCTCGATGACCTGCAACTGTACCTAATGACCAATGCTAAAGACGGCGTTTCCCTGTTTGATCACGCGTCTGGCTCCTCAGTTGCTCCTCCTGACACAGCCGACAGCCTCTCTCGTTCACAGTGGCAGACCCGTGACGCAGCTGCTCGCCTAGCTATTCGCAACCATCTGCCGTTAAGTGAACATGCTCACTTCGGCCAGCACAAGACTGCTAAGGACCTGTACACCGCTGTAGTCACTCGCTACTCTTCCCCTGCCACCGCTGCTCTTAGCGGCCTTATCATGCCCTACCTGTTCCCAGAGCTGTCCTCCTTTGCCACAGTTGAGGACCTCATCTCCCACCTTCGCGCTAGTGACGTTCGCTACCATGCCGCTCTCTCTGCAGAGTTCTTAGCCACGAACCCGCCCCCGATGTACATCACGCTCTACTTCCTAGTCACCCGCCTCCCTGACTCTCTTCGTACGGTTAGGGACCACTTTCTAGCGCTTGACCCTACCGCCCTCACTGTCGACAACTTCGAGAATCACCTCCTTGCAGCAGAGAAGAGCATTGTCACTGTAGGTGCTGCTCGTTGCACTCCTCGCACACCCCTCTTTGAGGGGTGTTCCTCCTCCCCCCTTGCCCCCTCCTACGCTTATGCTGCTGCTGCTGTTTACTTCCTTCGTGCTGAGGAGGTCAGCGCTGCATCTGCTCCTAGTGGGAAGCGCCGCAGCGGCAAGGGTAAGGGAGGCAGGAGTGGTGGAGGTGGCGGCGGGGGGGGGGGGGGAAGTGGTGGAGGCGACGGGGGTGGTGGAGGTGGCGGAGGTGGCGGTGAGAGTGGTGGCGGGAGTGGAGGCTTCGGTGGCGGCGGTAGCGGTAGTAGTGGGAGTGGGAATGGAGGCGGCAGAGGCGGCGGCAGTGGGAGCGGTGGCAGTGGAGGCGGCACCGGTGGTGGTGGCGGCAGTGGGAGCGGTGGCGGCGGCAGTGGTGGCGGTCGGGGTGGAGCCTTTCAGAGGGGAGGCTCTGGTGGTGGCCAGAGGCAACAGCAGCAACAGCGTCCGCACGAGTCCCTTACACCCCAGCAGCTTCGTGAGTGGTATGCTCAGCGTGGGGCGTCTGGGGGTGCTGTCCGCTGCCCGCATGTCATTCGCATAGGTCCCCGCACTGGTCAGCCATGCGGGAAGTTTCACACCGAGTACAGTTGCTTCTCTCGTCTTGATGATGCCTGGCGCACACAGTTTCCTAATGCACCTGAGCTCCCTCGCTGGGCAGGCTTGCTTAAGCGCGATGTAGATATCTTTGCTCTTGACTATGATGCTATTCTTGCTGCCATGTATGAATTGTCTGTTAGTGCTGAGGGTGACTATTACCCGTGTGTGCCGCCCGACCCTGCTATAGAGGCTGCTGCTCTAGGTGCTAGTGAGTTTGCTCTCTCTGGTACTGTGCCTGCTGAGGCCTTGCACACTTTCACGCTTGACTCAGGTGCTGCTCGCTGCTTCTTTCGCGACAGTACCATAGTTACGCCTCTCCCTGCACCTGTTGCAGTCTCTCTAGCTGACCCCTCAGGGGGCCCAGTTCTTGCTTGTTCCACCACTGTTCTCCCGTGTCAGGCGGTTCCGTCTGGCTCACTGTCAGGTCTTCCCCTCCCCTCGTTCTCGACGAACTTGGTGAGCAACGCTGTCCTCCAGGATGCATGGGTTGATACCTTTACACCTGGAGGGCAGCGTGTGGCGATCTGTACGTGCTCCCGGACTGGCCGTCACCTGGCCACGTTCACCCGTCAGCCTGGGTTGAGTCTGTACACACTGACTACTGAGCCTCCTCAGGTAGCTCCGTCTGGTCAGGTGTCCGCGTCGAGTCAGGTAGCCACCCTTTACTTGTGCCGGCACCTCTCTCACCAGACTCTCATGTGGCACCACTGCCTTGGTCACCCCTCCCTGCCACGCCTCCGTGGCATGCACTTCCGTCTCCTTGTCTCTAGACTTCCCAGGTCTCTGCCCCCTCTCCCGCGCTCGCCTGCCCCACCCTGTCTTCCCTGCGTCGTGGGGCGGCAGCGCGCCGCTCCTTACTCCTCCTCGTTCCCTCCAACAAAGGCTCCTCTGCAGACTCTCCACATGGACGTGTGGGGCCCAGCCCGCGTCCAGGGACAGGGCCGCGAGCGGTATTTTCTTCTGGTTGTTGATGACTACACACGCTACACCACGGTCTTCCCTTTTCGCAGCAAGGGGGAGGTCCCTGATGTCCTGATCCCTTTGATCCCCGCAGTCCGTCTCCAGCTCTGCGAGCGGTTCCACCATGACCTTCCTGTCTTGCGTCTGCATTCTGACAAAGGTGGTGAGTTCTCCTCCGACCTCTTGCGGGACTTTTGTCAGGAGGAGGGCATCACCCAGTCGTTCACGCTTCCGGCCTCTCCGCACCAGAATGGGGTTGCTGAGCGCCGCATTGGCTTAGTCATAGAGATTGCTCGTACCTCCATGATCCATGCGGCTGCTCCTCATTTTCTATAGTTGTTTGCGGATCGCTACGCTGCGCATCAGCTCAACCTCTCGCCTTGTGTCTCCTTGCCGGAGACCTCGCCCACACTGCATTTGGACGGGGAAGGTTGGCAATGCGTCGGTGTTCCGGGTCTGGGGTGCTGGTGCCTTTGTCCGCGATACCTTCGCGAACAAGCTCTTCGCCCACGCCATTCCCTGTGTCTTCCTTGGCTTTCCCCCTGACGCGCCTGGCTGGCAGTTTTACCACCCCACCTCGCGCCATGTTCTGTCCTCTGAGGACGTCACGTTTGACAAGTCGGTTCCCTTATACCGTCTCTTCCCCTACCGCACTGCCCCTCCCCCCCCCTCCCCCCCCCCCCCCCCCCCCCCCCCCCCGCCGCTCTTCCTCGCTCCAGGTCCTTCTCCGGCAGACCCCCTCCCCCCTCAGGGTCCTGCTCCCTCAGGTGTGTCTCAGGTAGACCCACTCCTCTTGGTTGAGCCTGTCGAGGTCACTGGTGACTCTTGTGCTGCTGGGGGTGCTGAGCCTGTGGGTGTTGAGCCTGAGCATGCGGAGCCTAGGGGTGCGAAGCCTGC